TTTGGCGTTCACGTTGAATACATAGAAAACGACGAAAGAAATAAGGATCAGAGATGAGAAGATACCAATTTTTGGATACGCACTTGTATTGAGAAGTGGATTTCTGTGGGAGTCGGCAAAGAATTTCAACCAATATGTGGTCAGGCAGGTCATCAATACTCGTGAATTTTGATGAGGATATTGGCAATTTTTTGGATCTTTTAAAGTCAGACTGATGATCATGATCATGGTCATGATAGGAGGAGGGTAGGTATTGTGATATTCGTGCTCTATAGCTTCTTTTTGTACACATGGACCTGGTGCCGCCACCTCTCATACACATGGTGCCAGAAACCAATGGAGATTTGCGATTGCAGATGACGTACCTTATAAGTAGAAGCGTACGTAGAAGGCTAGATACTGTACAAAAACTAGGCCACTTTACGTTCTATATATAGAGAGAGAGGGAGGTGTTTGTTTCAATATGCATATGCGCGATAGGATGGGAAATAAATACAAGCAAAATAAGGATTCCGAAAGAAATCAACTTTTTTAGGTGGGAAAGAAATACAAACTAAACAAGTATTAGGAAAGAAATTAATAATCAACTTATTAATTATAGGAATCCCGACACGATTAGAAAACAACTTTTGAATAATTAAAACACGAAACTACTTATTACTTGTAAGGTCAAAGGGTGACGAGTGGCCCATGGGATAGGGAATTAGTTTTGAGGAATTTTATTAATACAAATTTATAAATAAACCCAATCCTAGACATGTATTTATAAAAAAACCCAAGCACTATTATTTAAACATAGAAACACACCCAAAATCAACCCCAAAATCAATAATTATATATTTTTTGGGTGTGTTTATAAATGGGTTTTGAGTGTGTGTAATGATGGGTTTTGGGTGTGTTTATAAAGTGTTTTGGGTGTTGGATTTTTTTATAATTTCAGCCCCTATTTTGGGTGTTTTAGTGAAACTCCCTTTTATTAAATTATTCAGTTGGACCGATTGTGTTATAATCAGAAGAAGCTAATCTGCTGGGGTGTGTTTGGCCACAAGATTCCAAGGAAAACGAAGATGCTTTTGGGGTAATATTATTGCTTCCTTTTTTCAACTGAATTAATGCCAATCGCGCTTTTGTTCAACTAAATTTGAAGATCAGGTAATCCTCTTGGACCCAATTGTAATTGGGAGCTAAGTTTAGGGACGTCTACAGTAGATAACCCTTTATTTTATGTTTGTGCATCTTAAAGCATCTCTAACTGATATGTCAAATTGTCACATGAACATGAAATGGCAAAAATTGAAAGTTAAAATTGCTCCAACTAAGTAGTCAAATCCTATATGAATTTGAAGGCTGGAAGAGATATGTGAAAAATAACATATCAAAAAGCTTAATGTCAAAAGTGTATTAAAGTCCTTCTCAATATAAAAGGTCCTTAAATATTATTTTAATATTTTTTTAGTCATAGACTCCACTATCATTTACTTTCTTTTAAAACTTTACGCATCATATGAGCCTCGTTTGCTTTTAAAAATATAATAAAATAATATGATATTTGGCATTTCGGGTGGAGTAAATTTTTTTCCAAAGTGTCAAATTGGCACATAAGCCACCAAATTCAAATTTAACATTTTGCATTTAACATCTCTGTTGGAGATGCTATAATCTGACATGGAATTTGTTCCAATTTTGGCAGGACTTTCTGAACGTGTTTTTCAGGGACAAGTACAGGCCCATCCCTTCAAACTATAACCTTGTGTTGGCCATGCTCTGGCTTCACCCTGAAAGCATTCAGCTTGACCATGTCAAACTTGTTCACTATTGTGCTAATATGAGTACTAATCACATCTTTAATCTCATATTAATATCTTAGTTACTAATTAAATTGTAATTGTATTTGTTTATGGTTCTA